CTACATGAGTTCCTCTTTGTACCTCCAGATGGTGCCAACAGAACTGGTGGAGAAGGAGTTCTGGCGCCTGGTCAGCAGCATTGAGGAGGACGTCATTGTAGAATACGGGGCTGACATTAGCTCCAAAGATGTGGGCAGTGGATTTCCTATCAGGGATGGGAAGAGGAGGCTGCTGGGAGATGAGGAGGTAACCTGTCCTGGGGTCTTCTCTTTTATTTACATGTCACAATAACCCCAGTGTGAACAGATAGATATATATATAGAGAGAGAATGACAGAAACAAACCACTTGGTATATTTTATAAAAAATAAAACCCCTAATTTTTCTCAATTCAACTCCATCTTCGTCTTCCGTTAGGAATATGCGAACTCAGGCTGGAACCTGAACAACATGCCGGTTCTGGAGCAGTCGGTGCTTGCCCACATCAACGTGGACATCTCAGGCATGAAGGTCCCCTGGCTGTATGTGGGCATGTGTTTCTCCTCTTTCTGCTGGCACATCGAGGACCACTGGAGTTACTCCATCAACTTCCTGCACTGGTGAGACTTTTTTATCTCACTTGAATGTAAAAAACAAAACAAAAAAGAGCAGATCAACTTCCTGCACTGGTGAGACTTTTATCTCACGCTTGAATGTTAAAAAAAAAAGAGCAAGAAAGAGTCACTAATCCAAGCCAAAATACTGCTTGTCTTTCCTCTTCAGGGGTGAGCCAAAAACATGGTATGGTGTGCCAGCTTCTGCAGCAGAGCAGCTGGAGGCTGTGATGAAGAAATTGGCTCCGGAACTTTTTGACTCACAGCCGGACCTCCTCCACCAGCTGGTCACCATCATGAATCCGAACGTCCTGATGGAGCATGGTGTCCCTGTATGTGTCACGTCCTCAGATGTGAGCCAGTGAGATAACTGCGTGTGACATGTCTGACATGTTTGTTGATGTTTGCTGCCTTCAGGTGTACAGGACCAATCAGTGTGCAGGAGAGTTTGTGGTGACCTTCCCTCGGGCCTATCACAGCGGATTCAACCAGGGCTATAACTTTGCGGAGGCTGTGAACTTCTGCACTGCTGACTGGGTAAAAGCAATAAAGAAAACAAATTACATTTTAGAAATTTTTTTTTTTTACTTTTCAACATGATCATTTCTTCTTCTTTTTTTTCCCATGTTCCTCAGCTGCCGATGGGTCGTCAGTGTGTGGCGCACTACAGGCGTCTCCACCGCTACTGTGTTTTCTCACACGAGGAGCTGCTGTGCAAAATGGCTGCCGATCCGGAGAGCCTGGACGTGGAACTGGCTGCTGCTGTTTTCAAAGAGATGGGACACATGATGGATGAGGAGACAAAGCTGAGACAAGTTGTCCAAGAAATGGCAAGAAGGATCATAGTTCAAACGTTTGATACAATTGAAATAATTTATTTTCAAACCAGAGCTGGTGCTGAAGTTTTATATTTAAAATTGTCCTTACACCTACAGGGGGTGCTGTCATCAGAACAAGAGGTCTTTGAGCTGATGCCTGACGACGAGCGCCAGTGCTACAAGTGTAAAACCACCTGCTTCCTGTCCGCACTCACCTGTTCCTGCAGCCCCGAACGTCTGGTTTGTCTTCACCACGCAGCCGACCTCTGCGACTGTCCACTCGGCAACAAGTGTCTCAGGTAGGAGATCCCGCATTCAGACCAGATACTTTTTCAGTTAAATCCTGAAGGAAAAGAATGTTGCTGGAAAATTTCAAGAGAAAAACATATCAGTCAAATATTTATTTTTTTCTGTTTTTAATCAGACCTTTTAGAAAAGACTTGATTTTTAAAATCCTGACTCACTATACAATATAATTATTATTGTTGTCATTTACTCAGGAAATAACTCAAATCCTTGTAAACCCAGTAGCTCATGTTACATCACACTTGTAATAGTATTCTGAGCATATCAGGAAAAAAAGGACATTAATGAAACACGTTTTCTCTCAGTTTCTTGACTTCAAACTGTCTGTTTATCTTTGGTAAAACCACTGAATCTATCCAGCTGACTAGAGAAAACAGATTGAACAAGATGAACGGATTAATGTTTTGTGTTTTTGCGCAACATCTTGCAGGTATCGCTACGATCTGGAGGAGTTTCCTTCAATGCTTTATGGGGTCAAGACGAGAGCCCAGTCGTACGATGCGTGGATAAAGAGGGTCACGGAGGCTTTGGCTGCAGACCAGAAAAATAAGAAAGGTTTATATATAGTTTATTACAATCACAAAACATAAACCTGTTAAAATGATGTCTTTGTTGTATTCCATCAGGCTCTGACATTAGTTTTGTTTCAGACCTCATCGAACTCAAGGTTTTGCTGGAGGATGCAGAGGACAGGAAGTATCCAGAGAACAGTCTCTTCAGACGTCTGCGGGAGATGGTCAAAGAGGCAGAGACGTGCTCCTCCGTGGCACAGCTTCTTCTCAGCCGAAAGCAGAGGCATAGGTCAGTGTTCAACCACGCGCAAACCATAAAAATATATTTCAACCCCAATAAATGTTCTATTTCACAGAAACAGACATAAAAAAATCACTGCTGTTTTTCTGTTGGTGTGAATACGTGCAGCAGCAGACTGCGTCTCGACAACAACCGCAACCGCACCAAACTGACAGTGGATGAACTCAAGGCTTTCGTGGAGCAGCTCTACAGGCTGCCGTGCATCATCAGCCAGGCTCGACAGGTCAAGGTTAGTCCTGTCTTCACGCTCTGGCTTTTCCTAGACAGAAATGAGGACTTGTTATATTTTTTTTGTCCTGGAAAGAACCTCCTTATTCTTCTCCTCCGACTAAAATGAATGAATCTTTCTGACAACAATCTCCACATCTGTAGGAGCTGCTGGAAACCGTGGAGGACTTCCACGAGCGAGCCCAGACAGCACTGTCGGACGAGATGCCGGATTCATCCAAGTTGCAGGCACTCCTGGACCTGGGCGGTGGCCTGGACGTTGAGCTGCCGGAGCTTCCCAGGCTCAAACAGGAGCTCCAGCAGGCGCGTTGGCTGGACGAGGTAGGTCCAAGTCCTTCACCTGGTCCTTTTTAATTGAGCCGTTGTCAATTGTGGCGTCGCTCCTTTTCCTGCTTTCTTAGGTGCGCCTCACCCTGTCCGAGCCCCACAGGGTGACTTTAGAGTTGATGAAGAGACTGATAGACTCCGGGGTGGGTCTGGCTCCTCACCACGCTGTGGAGAAAGCCATGGCTGAACTGCAGGAGATCCTGACGGTCTCTGAGAGGTGGGAGGATAAGGCTCGTGCCTGCTTACAGGCGAGGTAAGGCTTCCGAAAATCACGGAAGCATCATCAGGATTATCAAGGACAATCAGATCGTCACCTCTCTGTCCTCTCACACACAGGCCTCGTCATAGTATGGTGACCCTGGAGAGCATAGTGCTTGAAGCTAGGAACATCCCAGCATATCTGCCAAATATTTTGGCCCTCAGAGAAGCTCTACACAAGGCCAAGGAGTGGACCTCTAAGGTGGATGCCATCCAAAGTGGCAACAGCTTCGCTTACTTGGAGCAGCTGGAGAACCTGTTGGCCAGAGGGCGCTCCATCCCTGTCCGGCTCGATCGACTCGCTCAGGTAGAGTCTCAGGTGGCTTCGGCTCGAGCCTGGAGAGAGAGGACTGGGCGGACTTTCCTGAAGAAGAACTCCACGTATACACTACTCCAGGTAGTTTTTGGCGATACAATACGTATGATAATACAGGGGAAATAATATGATATATTGCAATATACTGCAATACTATAGGCACAACGATATACAGTGTATACAGTATATATTTGTTTAAAAAGTGTCATCATAGTGACACAATGCTGTTCCATCTGAACATCAGGTTACTAACATTGGAACAGAGGGATCTACATTTGGAATCACTAGAGAAGAAAGAAAAATAAAATGAAGAAACACCAGCAATATTTGACTGTTAATTGTTAATAGAAAATGGACACAGTGCTGTAGAATATCGATACGGTATCGTGAAATTAAATATCGCAATATCTCAATGTATTGATATCGTCTTACTCTACTAATTGATGGTGTCACACCATTTTGTCTCCAAGGTCCTCAGTCCTCGTGTGGACATCGGCGTGTACGGCAACAGCAAAAGCAAACGGAAGCGAGTCAGGGAACTCATGGAGAAGGAGAGAGGAGGCTTCGACCCTGACACCCTCAGTGACCTGGAGGAAGGCCTGGAGGAGGTGCGGGAGCCTTCCATCGTCGTCGCAGCCTTTAAAGCCAAAGAGCAGAAAGAAGTGGACGCCATCCACTCGCTCCGAGCCGCCAACCTGGCCAAGATGGCCATGGCCGACCGCATTGAGGAAGTGAAGTTCTGCCTCTGTCGCAAGACCGCCAGCGGCTTCATGCTGCAGTGCGAGCTCTGTAAGGACTGGTTCCACGGAGCCTGTGTGCCGCTGCCTAAAACTGGAACGCAGAAGAAAGTGGGCGTGAGCTGGCAGAGCAACAGTAAAGACTCAAAGTTCCTGTGTCCCCTGTGTCAGCGATCGCGGCGGCCCAGATTAGAAACCATTCTCTCGCTGCTGGTGTCGCTGCAGAAGCTGCCGGTGCGTCTGCCGGAGGGAGAGGCTCTCCAGTGTTTGACGGAGAGGGCGATGAGTTGGCAGGTCAGCACACAAACGACCTCACTACGCTGTTTGTAAACAATTTACGTCACTCACACCTCCTCCTAACAGTGGGTTCACTCTCCCTACAGGACCGAGCACGTCAATCTCTGGCCACGGAGGAGTTATCGTCGGCCTTGGCAAAGCTCTCTGTGCTGAGTCAGCGCATGGTGGAGCAAGCTGCGAGGGAGAAAACGGAGAAAATCATCAACGCTGAGCTTCAGAAAGCTGCTGCAAACCCCGACCTGCAGGTAACAGGAGAGGTTTTAATGTTGGTGTTTGGGTGGAAACGAGAACACAGGCGGAGGTATTCCCACTGCTGCTGCAGGTTTGGGATGTCAATATAAACTTTGCCAGAAGAGGGCATCAAGGAGTTGCAGTTGTCATGGTGTTTTCTTCTCACCAGGGCCACATCCAGACTTTTCAGCAGTCGGGTTTCAGCAGAGCCACGTCACCGCGCCAGTCGTTGGACTACGATGACGAGGAGACGGACTCGGACGAGGACATCAGGGAGACCTATGGTTACGATATGAAGGCAAGTCAGGCAGAGTGGAGACTGTGATTACATTCTTCATCATCCAGGTCTTCACTTTTTGTGTGCGCCTGTTTGGTTGTAGGACCCAGGGGAGGTGAAGCCCTATCTGTTTTGCGATGAGGAGATTCCAGTCAAGTCCGAGGAGGTGGTCAGTCACATGTGGCCCGCTGCCACGCCTTCATTCTGCGCGGAGCATGCGTACTCCTCCGCCTCTAAGTCCTGCGTGCAAAGTAATGCAAATGTTTATGTATTACCTATAAATACAGGTCAGATTGTCTGTTTATTATGTGTTTAAAGTAAAATCTTTGATCAAATCGTATATTCCAGACATCACCACGCCCAGAAAGCAACCCAGAAAAACCCCTCTGGTCCCTCGTAGCCTGGAGCCACCTGTGCTTGAGCTCTCCCAGCAGGCCAAGGCCCAGCTGGAGGAGCTGATGATGCTGGGAGACTTGCTGGAGGTGTCCCTGGATGAGACCCAGCACATCTGGAGGATCCTGCAGGCCACGCACCCTCCCTCTGAGGAGCGATTCCTGCAGGTCATGGAGGTATGGAGGTCTTTCTTCAGACAAACCTCAGGACAATCATGGCAGTCCATAATTCCTGACTTCATTTTGGTCTTGTTTTTTTTCAGCCTGATGATTCTCTGATGGAGAAGCCGCTGAAAATCAAGCTGAAAGATTCAGAAAAGAAAAGGAAACGGAAGCTGGAGAGAGCTGAGCACCACCACATGATGATGGCGGCAGCGGCAGCTGTAGGTGGCGCCTCACTGGGAGAAATCAGACCGGTCAAATCAAAGGAGTTAAAAAGGGTCGGCCTGGAGCTGAGCCTGGGTGGCAAACCCAAAAAGAAGAAACTCAAACTCAACCTGGAGAAGAACCGGGAGATGAAGCAGCTCGCCAAAAGGTTAGCCAAGGAGGAGAAGGAGAGGAAGAGGAAAGAGAAAGCTGCCGCCAAGGCGGAGGCCATCAGAGAGGGACTGGAGAAGAGGAAGGAGAAGAAGATTCTTGACATTCCCTCCAAGTACGACTGGTCTGGAGCCGAGGATTCCAACGATGAGAACGCCGTGTGTGCTGCCAAAAACTGCCAGAGACCCTGTAAAGATAAGGTGAGAACTCCACCCCGTGCCAACCATTTTAGGGCAAATAGACGTGTGTATGTGGCAGGGAAAAAGACTCGAGGAATGAATCATATGTGATCAATAGAAACAGCTTTGAAATAATCATCAAAAACAATGCTGTAGACATACACATGTAAAAATACATGAACGTTTATTACTTTGAGTGAAGAATGGAGCAGGCTCTGTAATGGATCAGGGCTGCATTTTAATAGTGTCAGAGTCAAGTTAGTTACCATAACAACTTGTAAAAAGTATTGTACAGTATTGTAAAGCATGTTTGGGATTTGTCCATTTTCTGATTGGGTTAGGATTATAGTCATGTTTAAAGGGACTTCGAAGATCAATGAGGAGTAAAATAGTTTATGGCATATTGCTATAGTCCCACTGGCCTCCATTAACCTTGGACTTCTTATCATTTAGTCTGGGATCAACTGGACACAAAGTAGGTCAAGAAAAAAAACCCTAATTTTCTAACCAGTTTTTTTACCACGAAAATACCAGGAAAAAAATTGATCGTCTTCTATCCATTCACACAGACCCTCAGTCTGGAGTCCTGTCTCATTTCTCAGTACTGTTCAAGGACCGGAGCACTCTGCCAGGTGGAAAACTCTGGCAGGTGGTAAATACCGGTTGGTGCTTTGATCCCAGTTAGTTAACAAACTCTTTGAATGTGTAAAAACATATTGTGGATGACGGTGTGTTTTTTTCCTTCAGTTGTCAAAGAGTTAATAACAAACGCTGTTTGAAATGAACATCGCAGAACGTTATTGAATATCAGCGGCTGATACCAGCACTGGAACACCTTAAAGAGAGTTACACATGACTTATTAACCGGACGCTCTGGATACTGGTCATCTCTCGGACAGAATATGAAACTCTGCTGACTTATTAACCGGACGCTCTGGATACCGGTCATCTCTCGGACAGTTAACCAGTGGCTAGACTGAAGCCCTCGTCCTTCTACAGGCTGGCCAATCAGAGCGCAGGAAGCAGTAGGCTTGTAGGGCTGTAGTTGAGTGGGAGGGTCGGGGTGGGGAGTGGCGTTCTGAGTGCAGATGAGGTGTGATTGACGGTCACGTGTATTTAAACGTCTGTTTGTTGTCTGCCCTGTATTCCAGTAAATGACATACATCTCATAATAACTAACCCGACGACTCTAACCCCGGTTGTTAAAAATTATACATTTATGGTGTTTTCACAATTTCCTGGTTTTGCATAACACAAACCACCGTCACATGTCGGGTGTCAACACTCATTTCACCGTCTGATAAATATTTCTGCAGCAAGCAAAATCCTTGAAAAAGACTTCAGATTCAGAATGTGACGGTGAGATTTTAATCTTCAGTTTAGCTCCGAGACGTCAGATTACGATGTTCAATATTGTATTGTGTAACGAACAAACTTTTCCTGACAATGACAAAACGCAAGAGTTAAACGTAAAAAATTAAAAATTTTGATTTCCGCACATCTGCCCAGGTGGACTGGGTCCAATGCGACGGTGGCTGCGACGAGTGGTTTCACCAGGTGTGCGTGGGAGTCTCCTGCGAGATGGCCGAGAACGAGGACTACATCTGCGTGGACTGCTCCCGGAAGGCGTCCGGCGCCGGCGAGATGTGCGGCAGAGCGTCCGTCGTGGAGGTGGTGGACGGCGACAATGTGGTCGTACTGTCTACGTCCATGTCTGGCGGCAGCATACAGAGCCTAGCGCCCTCCGCCGCAGCGGCGTGGTCCATCACGTCCTCCGTTTCTCGTCTGAATCCGCCCACCTCACACCAACAGCTGCAACAGGAGCCGCAGCAGGGCAGTTAGCAGCGAAGCAGCGGGCCAGGACTCGGGCTAGAATTCTGTACCTCATAAAAACAGTGACTACGACGTAGTGAACGGCCTTGTGGGAAAAACAAACGGCCTCAGCCTCACAGTGCCCAGAGTGGAGAATAAACTCTGCAGAATGTTGGTCCACACACACAACATGGCCGTCCCGCAAACTCTTCTAGGTCTAGAACTGTCCACCAGCTACTTGCCTTTGTCCTCATCCTCAATAACTATTCACACACACACTCACACACACCTCTCTGTTGTATTCAGTCCAGACAAAAACAAACCAACGTGTGGCTGTGGTCTCTCTGAACGTCTAGAAGCCGCTCCTCTTCTCTCCTTCCCGACACATCCACGATCAGACTAGGAAATCAAGGCTGTGTCAGTGTGTAGTGGACGTATTTATAATGTACATAGGCTTTTACGCAGTAAATCAAATGAATTATGGCCTTCTTTAGTTTTGTTTTTGTTTTCTCACCTTTAATAAACTATTCCTAGTCAAACATTTGATGATAAACGTCTTTCATTGGGGTTTTCATAGTAATATATATTTATTTTCTAAATCTGAGCAGTGGGAAAATAATCTGGAACCCAGAAGGAACTGAATGCTTCGCCAAGTGAGAACTGTTTCGATGAAAAGTTGACGAAGATATGGTGAAACCAAGAAGTGGTCAGAAATAGTCATAAAAGGTTTTTATTCAATCTGTGGCTCAGTTTTCCACAGTTCTACAACCGTCTTTGTTTCCTTTTGTCATGAAGGCAGATGGTACAGGTCAGTGGTACAGTTTAGCCCAGGCATGGGCAAACTAAGGCCCGGGGGCCAGATGTGGCCCATTCAACTTTTTAATCTGCCAAACTTGTCTAAATTATATAACTTTATTGTGATTATATTTCTGCCTTTTCCCTGCAATGCCCACATTTTCCCTATAGATGGCGTAGAGAAGTGTTAGCATTTTAGCCTTTATGCATGACTTTTACATGTCATTTATCTTAGTTCACACGACTGCTCTTATCGATCTTCTCCTGACCTTGGCCTCACTGTTCAATTTTAGGACCAATTGTGGCCTGCGAGTCAATAGTTTGCCCACACCTGGGTTAACTCAGTATCATCAACAGTAGTTCAGTTTGACCAGGGGTTGGTCGAACCGTTCCCTGCAGGTTCTTGTTCCAGCCCAGCAGCAGCAACACCTGACTGGAGACACGTAATCAACCGATCTCAGTCTCCAGATTGATTCTGATTGGTCCAGCTGTGCTCTGATTGGTCCAGCTGTGTGCTCTTGGTTGATTGGAACAAAGACCTGCAGCCACACGGCCTTTTGCGGAATGGAAGAGTTTGGACATGCCTCAGCTGGTCTATAATGTTGCAAGAAAATAGGTGAGCTGTGGGCTAAAAATGTGTCTGTGGAAGTTCTCAGTCAACCGACCAGTTGTCCAGCTGACCTCGATGTAACTGCGACCCGCCAGGAGGGGGAGCTGCAGTTGAAGAGACA